AAAAGACCCCTAAATATAGTAGGTAGAAAAGTCAATCTTAATTAATGAATTTCGAATTTTATCAAGTATGTTAATTACGTTGTTTTTTATCTCATAAAAATCAGTTTAGTAAAAAAACAATCCCATAAGATCGGAGGCAAACTTAATTACTGCATTTATATTTTTTTAAGTATTTAATTTACCCTTTTTTTAGTCTTATCTCATAACATAAACTCAGTTTAGTAAAAAACAATCCTTCTCATATTTACATAGAAAAATCCCATAAATCGGTGAAGTAAAAAAATCAAAAAATTGTAAATGCAGATTCAATCTTTTTAAGGATTTGTGTGTATTCAAAATTCCTTCTTATCTTCTTACTAAGTGTATGTAAATCTGTTCTTATCTTTTTACAATTTATTTATCAAGTATATTTATTACGTTTTTTTTTCTTATCTCATAAAATCAGTTTAGTAAAGAACAATCCCATAAGATGGGAGTCAAACTTAATTACTGCATTTATAATTTTATCAAGCATTGAAAAGTCGCGTGTTTTTTGTGTTTGGAATCTTTTTTAATCTAAATTATAAATTATAAAGAGATAAATATTTGATCTGATGTTAAAACAGATTTCACGCGTCTCTTTCCCAAATAAAAACAGATTTCACGCATTTTTTGGTGTGAAATCTTTTTAAATGCAATTACAAATTATAATTATTTATACATGATGATAGGATCGGTCAACATAGTTATCTCCTTCCCAAATGAAAACATATTTCATACGTTTTAGTTGTTTGGATTTTTTTAATGCAATATATTTTAAATTATAATGCGATAAATATCTTATTTAATTTGTTACTACAGATAATGATATGATTTTACTTGACATTATCTCTACATATAATTCAATAAACCAATTATAAAATACAAATCTCCCAATTCTGAATCAACGTGTTCCTCTCTTTCAACCTGCGAAAAAACAAAAAACAGATCAGTGTGTCATCTACAACAATGAATGAAGGATTTAGCTTAATCAAACAAGTTAATAGGATGTCTTTAATAATGTTGTGTACAAGGAGATCTTTAATAATATATGATTGTTTCTTTGTCGAATACTATTTTATTGTACAATTTTCCTGCGTATTGTAAAGCTTTTATTATTGAATATTGCATCTTATAATATAATATTTCTCAAACATATATATTTCGTGCCCCGCAAAGCCCGCGTACTATATATATCCCATACATTTTTCTTTATTCATTTATATAATTGTAAGGTTTGATAAATGACCTTAAAAGTGTGCACCCCGTACATCGCACAAGCTTTGTACTAGTATCACATCCAAACTTAATATTTCCAATAATTTTTCTTATATATCAAAATGTTAATATCTTAAAATTTCTATTAAATCTCAAACTAATACACCCTACTAATTGTATTGTATACATAAAATACAATAGTTTGTGTGTTTAAAACAAAAATAGAGGAAAATAGAACGATAAAATAATACTTTTTAAATGGTGATTTAACAATATATTATTTATATAACTATGTTATATATATTTAAAAGTAATGGGCAACGTGGTATAAGAGGGCCTTAGGTGGTTGCCTGTTGTCCTGCCCTGTGCGGGTTCTATATAGTGGAAGATGTTACGGTCTCGTTAAGGAAGTCGAAGTTTATAATCGTTAGATTAACTATCTTTGACGGTTATATAATGATCTAACGGTTACAGACCTCGACGAAATAGTTCTGTAACGGGACCTTAGTATTTCCCTATAATAGTTATCTATTCATAATATGTTGGAAAAATCAGTTATAAAACTTGGGTTTGACCCGGTTCTGACTGAATTTTTGATGGCTAAATATTTAATTTGAGTTGAATTAAATATTGTAGAAAAATTCTACGTTCCGAGTAGATACTCGTGGTATATTTATTTTCTCAAAACTAATT